CGGGGGGGGGGGGGGGGGCGTTCTGTCAGTACCAGAGTCAACCGCAGCACTGTTTCCAGCCTGGTCCGGCAACCCAAGGCCTTCACTTAGTGGTCAGTTGTTAACAAGTCGGGAAGACAGCACTAGGGACACTCAGGTAAACTGGCCATTAGTGATGGGGTCATCAGTTGGCCACAATACAGAGGTCACTGTCAGCGGGTAATATTTGTATTTTTCATAGATTTTATATCAATGCTAAGTTTATATATGATATCAATTATTACCTGTGATCAGACATGAAATTTTGATCAACAGATTCTTGTAGCTAAGAAAGCTAGTTTTTGAGATTTGTGTTTTATTTTTCAGAAACCAAAGGGGGTGGCTTCCCACCTCTAAATCTGCCACTGCCTATTTTCTTAACTACTGAATTTTCCATGTTTTGACATTTTGATTCATTGACATATATGTTGATTTATTATTATTATTATTATTATTATTATTATTATGCTAGAATATCTTTTGATGACTACAGTTCAGCATCACTTATGGTTCACTTGTCTGGAACTGTGCAAATTTAACACTGATAAAAATTACAAACAGGCTCGAAATACGGACACTGCTGTATGCATTTGTGTTGGATAATGCGGTAATACTCATTCCTGATTTGTGGTCAAAATATTTACATTACATGCAAATTCCTATGAGAAAATCCGATCATATTTATAACCAGTTTTAGTCATTTAATGTACTTGTTGCTTACTCAGTTACATTCTAACGATATGTGGCGAATTACACTCTTTAGTACCAAACCAAGACAATGGCTTTATGAACATCTTATAAAAGTAAGCTTGTTGATTATTCTGATTAACTAACCAGAATAGTCAACAAGCTTACTTTACCTCTTTAGACTTTACATAACATATTATGTGGAATTAAGGACTACAATAAAAAGTTATCATGTGAAGTTACAGAAATTGCCTGTGAATTATTAAATGTCTCTGACCCACTGATACAGAATGTTAGGTGGGCTTGTGTTCAATTGATAACTTAAAATATATGAAATTGTGCTGACACAGTAGTGACTTGTTAATGGCTGGTCAGAAAACCTTGGAACACTGATAATACATTGACTTCTTTTAGACAAAGCATATAGTTTTACATCTACAGTTTCTTTCTTTCTTTTTTGAGATTTTTAACTTTTTCTACATCTGACTTGTCTATCTGTCATTGAATCTATTTCTTTAAAGTCTATATTATAAAGGGCTGTCTACTATGTCTGGTTTTATCAAATATTCATTTGGAGTTTGATATTTTGTTGAATAAAGAAAAAGATGTTTCTTTTTCAACTCTTTATTCGGTCTCTAAGTCATTGGATATATAAATTTCATACATAAAAAATCAAATAATGTAAATTCTTTTCATCTTATAAATGTAAGTCCTTTGAAAATGAAACACTTGTCTATTTCTCTATCTGTTTTCAACAATAAAGGTAGAGGACAGGGATTTTCTAGCGTAATATCAAGTACAATTCTTCTTTAAAAGATGATCTATCATAGATAATGTATCTGATCATGGAAGTAAATGGTCTGATGAATACTGAACCTACACAGTATAAAAGTAATAATTATTGTTTAACTCTAAACAAATAAAAGTTGATTGTTCTTAAGATGTCCAACAATAGCATAGTTATAAAGTAAGAGTTAGTTTTCTGCTTCTGTCATCTGAACATATCATCGAGAGCTGTGGAAAGGATTTTTTATAATTGTAGTGATGACACCTGGCGTGGTTCTTTTTATGTATTTCATAGACATCATTGTCAGTATTGATGGTGACATTCTCCGTGGTAAAAGTGTCATCATCTTTGTGATAGTATTCTGCTCCTTCTTCCTCATATATATGATGGGTTATGACATTATTATTGGTCAGTTTATTTTCCACGTTATTGATTTCATCTGTCTCCCCCTCTGAATCTGGAGCATTGTTAGGCTCGCCTTCATTGCCTAAAGTTCCATATATATTATCTGAACTAGATGTTTTCTTTTGTTGTGCGTTGTTTCTTGTGTTCTGCAATTATTCCCTTGACTGAATTCTACTCCACATTTGTCTGGTTTCTCACAAGTGTGCATTCTTTTAGGGCTAGTGCAGGCTAATTTTGGTTTGAACTCTTTGTCACAGAACTTGCATGCATCGTGCTTTTCTGCAGTATGAATGGTTTCATGGACAGTGCAAAAACCTTGTTTAAAAGTTTTGTTTCCAGTGTAAATTATTTCATCGTAAGTGCAATTCCCTTTTGGAGTGAATGTTTTCTAAAAAAAATTACAGATATGTTTGTCTCCAGTGTGATTTTTTTCATGAAAGTTACAACATTTTTTTTGTGTAAAAGTTTTGTCACAGAATCTACACTTGTAAGGTCTCTCTCCTGTGTGAATTCTCTGATGATATATGCAAGAAGTTTTGTCTTTAAAAGTTTTGTCACAGAATCTGCACTTGTAAGGTCTCTCTCCAGTATGAATTCTTTCATGCTCAGTGCAATGGCCATTTTGAGTAAAAGTTTTGTCACAGAATCTACACTTGTAAGGTTTCTCTCCTGTGTGAATTCTCTCATGAAACATGCAAGAATTTTTGCCTTTAAAAAATTTGTCACAGAATCTGCACTTGTAGGGTTTCTCTCCTGTGTGAATTCTCTCATGACATATGCAAGATTTTTTGTCTATAAAAAATTTGTCACAGAATCTACACTTGTAAGGTCTCTCTCCTGTGTGAATTCTCTCATGAGATGTGCAATTTGTTTTGGCTGTAAAAGTTTTGTCACAGAATTTACACTTGTAAGGTTTCTCTCCAGTATGAATTCTTTCGTGCACAGTGCAATTGACTTTTCGAGTAAAAGTTTTGTCACAGAATCTACACTTGTAAGGTTTCTCTCCTGTGTGAATTCTTTCATGCTTTATGCAAGCAGTTTTGTCTTTATAAGTTTTGTCACAGAATCTGCACTTGTAAGGTTTCTCTCCTGTGTGAATTCTTTCATGCCTTATGCAAGAAGTTTTGTCTTTATAAGTTTTGTCACAAAATCTGCACTTGTAAGGTTTCTCACCTGTGTGAATTCTCTCATGAGATATGCAATTTGATTTGTCTGTAAAAGTTTTGTAACAGAATCTACACTTGTTAGGTCTCTCTCCAGTATGAATTCTTTCATGCTCAGTGCAATGGCCTTTTTGAGTAAAAGTTTTGTCACAGAATCTACACTTGTAAGGTCTCTCTCCTGTGTGAATTCTTTCATGCTTTATGCAAGTAGTTTTGTCTTTATAAGTTTTGCCACAGAATCTATACTTGTAAGGTCTCTCTCCTGTGTGAATTTTTTCATGCTTTATGCAAGAAGTTTTGTCTTTATAAGCTTTGTCACAGAATCTACACTTGTAAGGTTTGTCTCCGGTATGAATTCTTTCATGCTCAGCGCAGTGGCCTTTTTGAGTAAAAGTTTTGTCACAGAATCTACACTTGTAAGGTTTGTCTCCAGTATGAATTCTTTCATGCACAGTGCAATTGCCTTTTTGAGTAAAAGTCTTGTCACAGAATCTACACTTGTAAGGTCTCTCTCCTGTGCACATTTTTACTGAGTGCTGTAAGAACTTAATTGGTGATATAAAAGTCTTGTCACAGAATCTACTCTGTAAGGTTTCTGTCCAGTATACTTATTTTCTTGAATTTCATGAGATGATTCATCACTGAAAGATTCTTTTCACAAGTTACATTGAGTCCTGATTCCAAGTCTTCTTTTCACATAATTTCCTTTTTTTGTCGTTCCTTTTCCAGACAACTCCTGTCAGCCATTGTTACACTACTGTCTTACATTTTGCTGTGAGCCAGTCAGTCACTTGGATAAGGTATAAGACTTATTGAGGCTTGATCTGTCCTTTCCAATACTGTAATTGTGTTCACAATTCAAGTATCAGAGCACTATAAGAATATCCATTAGGATTCTGTATGAACTTGTTGTTAACATTACCAATGCACCTAGTTTTTGTACTGAGCAATGCATAAAGTTGTATTAGGAACCCCCTGTTTAAAATCTTGAATCCAGTCATTCTATTGGACGATGTAACTGCTGGTTACAGTGGACATATCTGATTGGTTGAAGTCATTTCTCTCCAATACTTCAGGTGCCATAATTAAAAGATGTTATCTGCACAACCCACTGCATATAATTATCTGTTATTACTTCACTTAGCATTGGTAAACATGTAACATGACACCATCAAGCTAACATCTAGCTAGTTAAAAGACAAGAAGTGATTTTATCAGTTAGTTTGTACTTGTCACACATGCCAGGCTGGTTCTGTACGGTACATGTAGATGATGTGATAAGTCATTCAATTAATTCAATTTATGAAACCCTTCAGCAGCCAGCAGTTTCAAAAGTGAGGTTCTTTTTCTGAAAAAAAAAAATGGACCTTATGCCATCCAATCTTTGTGTACTTAGATAAAATTTTTCTCAGATGGAACATTTTCCCAGCAAAAATGGACTCCACACACCCCCTGACTACTGGGCATGTTCAGGTTAAGAAATTTATAAAAGAATTAGTTCAGTTATAGGTATTAAAACTTAATCCATTAACTCCACCAAGGCATGTTACTTTCAAAAAGGAGCAAGAATAGACTTTTTTAAATGTGGGTGCATGTGCAGGTTATTTTACTGTTTGTGACTGCATTTTTGCTGGCCTTTCTGTTTCAAACATAATTTATTCCTCTCAGCTTGTTACCGTTGTAAGTTTTGTCTCTCAGGTGAGTGCACCAATAGGTCAGGGAAACACTAGTTGAAAATAGCTGTAATATCAGTGAGCCACCACACCATTAAGACAGAGATGAAAACACACCTACAAGGTACCCCAGATATGTACATGTATGTCATGTTATTTAGTCTTTGAATTTGCTGTGTCTTAAAGTTGGAATACTCTTTCTTTCTAACATTATTTGATATTATATATTATGACCTATTTAAGTTTTATGTAATTTTGCTTTACTCATAAATACTGCCAATGTTCATTTGTGGTATGTTCATCAGACAGATTAAAATAATGAAAGATGGTAGACGCAGTAGTATTGATGGCTGGTCAGAAAACCAAACCAAACCAAAATATTTGGGCCAATAAAAAATATTTTACTTCTTTTTTAGACATGAAAGTCTGTGTTTTCAAAGAATTTTACATTTTTTTCATGGTTTACTCATAGCAAATACTCAGTAGTACCAGTGTTAAATGAACTGTTGCGTCCAGTTGATAACAATTTAAAATATTGAAAGCTTTCTGACATGAAAGTGTGTACAGATGATCATAAAACCAACAGAGCTTGTGAAGAGTAAAAAACATTTACTTCTTTCATCTGTTGTTAAGGTGAACACTTTGATTGCTTTTAGAATTTTTAAAATTCTTTTGCTAATGTTGTTGAAATTCTGGTTGCTGTTTGGTATCTGTATATTTGGCAGTTTTGATGTTGAGTTTTTTTTTTCCTTCAGAATTTGGCTCATTTCTTGTGGAAGTAGTGACCAAAGACCAGAAATTGTGGGTGGTTGCTGAGGCTCTGGACGCCATCTTTGATCATGTGTTTGCAGAAGATCATCTGGACCTGTTGTCATGGAGATTAGGGTAACAAACAAACTCCAGACCTTATGGTACCACAGCTGACAGCTAAGGTAATACTACTCCCTGTTAGATTAATTAATTAATTTATTTATTTATTTATCAAAACAGTTAAAGGCATATACCAGGAGCAGTTGCATTATTTGTATAGAGGGCAATATGAAAAAGTGTTGTTTACTTACTAAAATGATTCCTGCAGTTGGGTATTTAATATTTTCTTTCACAGTGTAATGATAATCTTTATTTAGAAACATATTGATGAACTAAAGCGATGGATATCTTCTTAAGGAATAATATCAAAATTTTTCAGATTAATTAACAGAGGAAAAGCCTAGGAGACCACTTTACTATCAGCGTGACAGCGAGGACAAATCTGGTGCACTTCATCAAATGCAAATCTTGACCAGAAGATTGACTTGGACATGTTTTTCTTCTTCAAAATAACTTAAAACTCGGCAGTAATGTGGATCAGAGAAATAATTAGAGTGAACCACTTCAAGATCCATAGTTTTCTGGTGTCAAGTCAGTTTTATTTCAGGCAACACTGATATTTAGCATTAATATTTTTTAAAATTATTTTTTCCACAACTTTTATGACAGTCCCACTGGATGATTCATGTGTTATCACAAGATACTGATGTAAAACTTGTTTTTGTTTTTAGCTTTTTCTTCCAAAATTTTATATCAAAATGTGTGGGGCTGTATTGTCTGTTAAAACTTTGATCCACTAACTGAGACAACCAAGTGATTAAATTTCTTTTCTGGTTGCTCACCAGCAAAATAAACTTTTTAATTATGGTTTTGTGAGGCTTAAGTTGTTGAATTATTGTCTACACCACATTGGATTGGTTTGATTTGATTAAACTTTGAATAACACTCTAATAATTGAATAAATTACATTGTTTTAAACGGGTGTAGATGTTAATAAAACATTTTTTTTGTGAATCTCAAGATATAAAAGTCATAAAACTGTTGTTGGAAATATAGATTATTGGTTTAATTTAACAGGAATAGATACATTGTATGGCAGTATGATATTCTATAAATAACATAGTTTTAGGATGGTGTGGATGTTTAAAAAAATTAATTCCTTAATTTTATTTTGTTATCCATGGGAGTGGGGGGATATATGGAACCTTTAATGATTCCAATGGCTTTAATGCTTTCTAGTTGAATTAAGATGGTTTGCGTGTATTAATTTTTTCAAAGCATTTGCTACAGTGTATGTGTTAGTTTACTGTAACTTCAATTTTACCCACAAATGTGCATCATAGTTTTGTCATGTTCCTTAGTCTACTATTGCTGTGTAAAATTTGAAAAGGGAACTTGCTGGATGGGTGGGGTCCCCATAATCTTTGTTTTCTTCATTCTGTCTTTCATGATATACAAATGTTATATTTTATGTTACACAATATACATTATAAAGAAAATATGCATCAAATGGATGAGATCCTTTGTGTATTTGGCACTAATTATTTGCATTTTATTATAACCTTAGTTTATCTGTTGTTATCAAATGTGAACATACTAGAATATAAAAGCAAAAGTGAAGTTATCAGTAATTGAGCAGCGTGGTAGGGTATGTGAGAATGAGTGTGTATGTATGTATTTGAGTATACTTTAAAGTTTGTGCAATGTATAGTTTATTTCTTAACTTTAATAAAAGAAATTTAAAAAAAATTGAAGATAAACTTGAATCAGAAATCAAGTGTTGCCTTAAAGCAAGAATCACTATTCTATGTTTTTAAAAACTTTTTATTTAAAAGGGTATTTTTGTTACATGTGAAAGCCACTTTTTATTTCCCTGAGATGCATGAAATGTTCATATTATTTAGGGAGATCCTCATTCCTGTAACTCTTAAATACGGCTTTTTATTTTTTGCCCTTCGTGAAACGAAGCATTATACCCGGTAATTCGTAATATTCAGGATTTTCAACTCCTCCTGCCAGTGAGGCATGCATAAAGTTTCGTTTACTGTGATTTTTTAATTGATGATTTTATTTCCCATGAACTGTGATCACACATTCCCAATGCTACCCTCAATTAAGAAAAGAAAGAAAAACAAAACACATTTGATTACACAAAATTTATATTTTATTGTAAAATTAAGAGAATGTCATTTGAAGTTTTTAACTGGCTGCTACAGAAGCAATAGTAGTTCTGCAATGATGACCCTAAAAAATAAGAAGATGAAAATATTAAAATATAATTCAGTTAAAATGTATTAGCTGTTAACTTTGACATCAACTGAAGAAAAAAAATGGAACACAAATTTAACATTCAATGCCTGTGCACAACAAGGATTCAATACATTATTTTACATAGTCAAAGACATATTTAAAGATTTAGATCACTAATCAGTGAATTTAAACTGTTTTATTATGGGAATCTCCACCCTAAAGTCCGCCTGTGTGTGTTTACACTTTTTAAGTGTATTAAATGAATTCCTGTTAAACTGACCTTACTGTCTTTAAGTTACCTTTTTCTTTGATGCCCTCAGCATCTGACACACTCTTTGTGTCTTTGATATCAGCTAAAGAAAAAATGATATCAAATAAAAATTTAACATTCCATACCTGTGCATGTTCAATTAGGGTTCAGTATTACAATTTGTTGAAGACACATTCAAAGATTTAATTGACTTAAAAATAAATAAATTTTCTTAAGTATTCTAAAGACCAGACTGCTTGAGCAACATGCTTGCAGTGTGTAATGAATGTGTGTGTGTGGGCTTGTTAGTGTACGGTATGTGTGTGTGTGCATAAGCATATTAAGCCTTACCTAGCTCCTCAATACTTAGGATCTTAACAATTGCTACATTGTTCTTTTCTTTGGTATCACCTGAAAAAACAGAATTGAATTTTAAGGAAAACCAAGCATGTTCAATGATTAACACAGCAAGAGCATCAATTTTTCTGAAGATAAAGTATCTTCTTAAGACTGTCAAAAGCCAGACATACTGTGCAACATAGTGTGCATGTGTGTGTGTCTTAAGTGTGTGTGTGCTCATGTGTGTGTGTGTATGTGTGCACGCACATGTGCATGTTTCATGTGTGTATTAAAGTCATAATTATTTTACTGAGATTCCAGTCTTATCTATCTCTTTAGTGTTAAGATTCTTTACAATTGTTACTATGTTGGTATCAGCTGAAACATGAGAACTGAATTCAAATCTAAGGAAACACAATACATGTATTTGTTTTGTCTAAACTTAACACATCAAATACATCATGGCATTGAGTAGAATACAAAAAAAGCTGTTGATTATGTATGTTGGAGACAAAATGTTAGTCTTTTAATCAGATTGTATCCAGTGAGAGATTCCATGGAGTTAGTGTATATTAGCTAGATCTTCAAATTCATTGTGAATTGACTTGCAGATTTGCACCATGGGAGTCATGGTGTTATTGTCAATAAACAATTTTATTCGTAAATCCTTGCTAGAAGATTAAAAAATGCACCAAGCTGATCGCTTAATCTGCTGAATTATTGTCTTGAATAGAGCAATAAAATTATATAATGCAATTCACTTACCACTGGTGTGGACTTCAGGCTTGTACATGTAGTTCAACTCTGGAATAAGATGTCACATTTATTTTTCATTCACAAATTATGACATAGATTAAAATATAGTCTAAAACGTATTTGACAGAATTTAAGGACCATTTCATCATTTCTTTCCATAGGTTATATTTTATAGGATTGTGAGATCAAATAACCTTTTATTTCCATACATTATACATGACAAAATTAAAAGTTTATTTCACCTTTTATTTCCATTTATTTGTCATTCACAAATTATGATACAAATTAAAATATAGTCCAAAATGTATTTGGCAGAATGAAAGGGCCATTTCGTTATTGCTTTCCATAGGTTATAATTTATAGGATGGTGAGATCAAATAACGTTTTATTTCCATATGTTATACATGACAGAATTGAAAGGTTAATTCAACTTAAATTTCCATTGGTTATATCAAATAGAATAATAAGATCAAGCACCTTTTATTTCCATGTCCAGTTCTCCCCAAGTACAGGTCACTTCCATGCTGTCCTTGGTGGTCACCTGGAGGCACCTGTTCCTAAAAGGTTCAGGCTCCCATGTCCAGCCAGACCCAGGGTGGTAAGGCTGAAAGAATGATGAATGAATAAATAAATAACTTGAATAATATGTTTATGTCTAAAATGAAAAATAAAATGATTATAAATATATACAATAATTGATAAATCAAAAACACTAGACAAATGAAGGTATAAATAATTACTTAAACATGCAGGACTTTAAATTTTCTTTTTAAATTTCAAAGAAAATTATTTTACCTTATATCATTACTTTTGTAAAAAAAAAAAAAAAAGGTATAATAATTACATTTTGTGGCTTAATGAATTTCCATTCCATTTTTGAGCCCTTGGGCAGGAGAAACTCTGCCCTAAGAGACGGGACACCCATGCTGGTAGTCCTTGGCATGTTAATGCCGCGCTGGGTGTCCCAGCCTCCAACGGCAGTTCCCCTGCCCACTAGTTTAGCTTTCAACAAGTTGGCTCTTAGAATAATTCTAACGTTGGCCTTGGTTGTTCAAAACAAAGTAAAAAAAGAAAGAGATCCTATCAATATATCTTTTTGATATTTTTACTACAGCATTCAAATTGACCACTTAATTAATGGAAATGAAGAATGGGATATCTTACTTTCATATCATGAAGAAATTAGTTGTTTTAGGCCCATTGTAATGAATTGCTAGCCCAATTATCAAACACACAGTCTCACACACACACACACACACACACGCGCAACTTACGCGCACACTGTTCTTCTTTGTTTATCTTAATCTCCATATCAGGTGTCATCTGCAATATGTATAATAAATAAATGAAATCATAAGTTGAACAATTTGGTAGTTTGTGACAGATCAGCAAAACGTTGTATGACAGGAAATTTATAAGAAATTCATTTAGAATATTATTGAATCGTAAAATTCGTGAACAGGTACCGGTAAAAAGGCGCTATGAGGGATTACATTTAACTTGCTGCCGGGTTTAAGTTTTGAATAAAAAAAAATAAATAAAACTTACCAATGACTGTGGAGACATTGTCTCTTTGCTTTGTTTACAAAACAATTAATAAGAATAATTATTGTATAAAGGAATTTCATTGGACGGCTCCTGTATTGTTTCCTTAACTTTAAACCAATCAGATTGACGCTTAGTTGAAGCTCTCGACCTTGAGTCTTTCTGCTAAATACAAATCACAATATATCACAATATATATATATATATATCAATACTTGGACCCTGGTAATATCTATTGCAGTGCCAGAAGCCTCTCCCTCCTTGCACGAGTTTCTTAGAAAGAAGGCGGCGAACCTGTTGCTGATAATGGCCGCAGTCCATCACAAATCCAAAGTCTCACCTCTTGCACAGC